CTCTCTGCCGCCACACATACACTGTCCAGTTTCCTGCCGCAAGCCAGGCGGAGTCACCCTAATCAGACACTCCAATCTTATCAGGGCCCAGAGGAGCCAAATCACAACTTCCTCCGAGACAAAGTCATTTGGAAAGGGAAGAGGCCTCTGCCTGCTACTCAAACAGGAGCGCAGCAGATACCATCGCTTACGTAAATACAGAGCAGAGTGGGGACCGGGGTCTTTCATCAAACCTGCGAGACCAGTTTAAAATACATTGTTGCTTCTTGACAGGTGTGGAATGTGTCGTTCTTCACTGGACTCATAATTCATGTGAAAATCAGGTCAGAAATGAGTCGGCTCTATTCTTCCACCTCTGGTGCTAGAAGGCGCTGGGATGTGTTCTTTGAATCACTGACGGAAATCATGAATGTGCTCGGTAATATCACTGATACATGAATTAGAATAACACTGCATGTTATTCTAATTTAGCTAGAGATGAGACGTACTTTATTTAGTGCGTGACGGCAGCAAAACATGAACAAACACCAAAGAAGGAGCTCCAATCAAAACTGAGATAAAATGCTTAATAATTAGCTTAATAAGAAAAACCTAACAAATAAACATGCATGCTGTGGTATGAGACGGGAAGGACTTCCTGTTTAAATCAGCAGTTTATGATCACCAGAAGCATTCTGTCTGAAGGCCACCAGATGGCGCTATCTGTGGTTCCTTTGAGGCATTGCAGACATGTGACCACTCACCATGTAACATGTGACAATCAATGTTCTCAGTGTAAGGTCAAGTGAACATGGCGCCAGTCACACAGGCCTAGAGACTGATCTGCAACCATCTGGCAACCACAGCTCATTGTTTTGGTTGCTAGCATATTCTTGCAGCTATTCTCTGAGCTGTAGTGAAACCTGAAAATTGCAAAGCAAACCAAAAAATAAAGACACTTTTCCTTAAATGTAAAATGTTTGCCCTTTAAAACATGTTAGCTGCAGCACAAAGGTGAAACTTTGACTTTAGCGAGTATTTGCAGACAGAGATAAACTCTACAGCCAACTGTGGCAACCTGCTAGCAACCAAAGCATGATTGCTAAGAGGTTTTTTGTGCAGCAAACGTCTTTGATTCTGATTTTACTCAACAAATGTCACCAATTTCCAGCAACCAATGACAACCAGCCGGGGAATACACATTTTACCCAAGCAACCAATGGTTGTATCACCATCATCCAATATGGCGGATAACTCTTGAGCAATGTGTGCATGACATATCCATTTCCCATCCAGTCACATGGATGACCTCTATTCTGTCATCATAATGATATTCGTGCATTTTCACAGCACATATAGACATACAGACCAAGTGTGGTGGAAATGGTATGGAAGACAGAAAACTGAATCAGTTCATTAGAGCGTTCTCTCCCCACGTAGAAAAACTGCTAATTGTCTCTTTGCCACAACTGAACAAGCTCTTCCTTATTTTATCACCTCTAAGACATCAGTGGCAAAATAGCCTTTTATGGCCTGCTGCCTTTTAGAGTCTCTAAGTTTCAAAGCACAGTTCAAACATCTAACTACACTGCAGCACACAATAAATCATAGGAAATCAGCCTTTAATTCAAAGTCGACTGACCTTTGTTATTTCCACTACCCCAGTTATTTACAGGCCCAACAAGCAACAGTTCCTGAAAGTTCTCGGTTCTGCCTCCAAATTCCTGTTAACCTGCACTTCCACAGCTGTTTACAGTGCTGCTTACTGACAGAAATCCTACCTTTAGTGCAGCGTCTGTTCAGTTAAACTGTTAGATAATTACAATAATAACAATTGTACGTTTTTTTCCCCACTAAGGCTGTAACCTCAAACATTTCCTGCAGGAGCTGTGAGCCCCTGTAGCCTTTAAGTAGGAAATAAGAACCTCTTTAAAGTGGGAAACTGGTTTAAATGACAACTTCTTTAATCTTGTGAGCCCAGAGGTTGCAAAGTGACAGGCTGTGATTTTTTTTCTTCTGTGCTGTAATGGTCGGAGTGAGAGAAAAAGCAGTTCGGAGCTCTGGTAGCTCCACATATCCCTGGATTTACAGCTCCTGCTGTAGATGTGAGCCAGCCGCTTGACAAGCACTTGATCCCTTTCCTGTCTTGAATGTCACATCTCCATCGAGACGCCAGAAAACGGGCTCAGCATCTTACTATCCCGTTACGTCAGGGTCAACATAAACATGCTAATTTGACCACATTTTACCATTCAGCCTGTTCCTTTCATTCTGTCTCCCCCTTCTGTCATTCTGAAGGTTTAATATCCGCCTGTGTTTTCATATCGGGACCATCTGCTGTTCCTCTGACCGGGGGGGAGGGAGACCACATCATAAGCCAAGTTTCCATCCTGCTGTCAAGCAAATTTTAGTCAAAGTTTTGAAAAGTCACATATAGTAAAATGAGAATTAGATGCCTTTTCTTCATGTCAGCTGAAGTGAATAAGTAGGCAGTAAAAAAAAACCAACCAGCAGACAAGAAGTGTTAGAAGAACGAATCCGTCATGGCCAAACGGCTGTTGTTTGTTCTTTAGTGAAGACTAATGTCGGCCATATTTCATGCTGTCTGAATATGAAAACAAGAAATGCCCTTGGCAGTATTCTGACTGCTAACTGCGACGGGCCTCTTCTGCGTGGAGAGAGAGCAGGTTTAACGTTTCAGGGGGAGTTGTGGTGGACGAATATTTTGAGATATCCAAATCCTCCTCCTGAGCCGCACAGGCAGACTGAGAAAATGGTTTCTGTCGCTGCTTGTTGTAAACATCCTGGATCAACTAAACGTATCCCATGCTTCCAATCACAGTTTTCCACACAAATACTGGACGGCAGCTGAAATTAATTGATATTCTGGTGTGTGCATCTTTCATGTTGTTTTGAAGTGGGGAGGAAATGTGTTGAAGTATGCACGCCTGTTTCTATTCCTGTTTCTCATCTAAGTGTGTGAGCAGGGAAGAGCATTACTGTGTCAAGTGTACTTTACTGTGTGTGTTCTTTTTAAGGCGTTTTGATAAAATGGTCACTTAAACAAACAGACTTTAATTTAACCCCACCATCCTCAGTGTTACTCTATAGAGCTGCAATAGCCACAAATATTTTTTAGAGGAGGGACGGTATGAATTTAAAATAAACATGCGTGGAATCTTATAGCAAATGTAGGAGATTTATGCTGCTTGGCAATATTTTCCGTGTTGCAGAGTTATGACAAATCTATATTTTAGGGCATTTACATTAAAGCAGTTTATATTTATGAGTGCTTATTCCCCGTTTTATAAGTTGACTTACAGATGAGGGTTAGCACTGCTAGCAGCTGTATTGACAATTTATAGCATGCCCCAAAGTAAACAGAGTTTTGATGGGAATAAAGCAAAACTAAAGCTGAAAGGTTTTACTTTTGCATTGTGTATAAATATTTATAAAGCAATTCAAGAAGAAAAAAAGTTAGCTAGCCAACACTGCTAATGACTTAATCAGAAATGTGGCACTTGCACCTATATAATTAGGAAACTACTTAAAATGTGTAAATTATTAAATATCATAATGTTATATTGTGTTTGTTTTAATGCTGCTAGCTATTGCTAGTACTAGCTAACATAATAGCTAAATTTGATTCCTACTACGTGTTAGTAAAACGAGTGCCAAAATGTTTTTATCCTTTTACAAAAGTAATACGTTTTGAGACTCTTGACTAGCTCATTAGCTTTACACTAAAGGGGATTTGTTGTGTTTATTTGCAAACCTACAGACATTCACTGAACTAGCTTAACTGTCCTTGTTTTAAAGCTAACTATTTTGGAGGACACATTGTGTTGCTAATGACCTTCTCTGATGTCAAGGTTTTCTGTGAGACTGCTGAAAATTACCTTTCAAGACAAAGACATGTTAATTCTTGGTTGTGATATTAGCTACTAATGCTACTAGTAGCTACTAATGCTACTAGTAGCTACTAGTAGCTACTAATGCTACTAGTACCACTAATGCTAGTGGGGGCTAGCATTAGCTACTAGTAGCTAATGTTAGCCCCCACTAAATGAATTTGTCATGTCGTTTGCAAAACTCGCTTATTATTAACTAGCTAAACTGTGTTTTTACCATATTAAATATTTGCAATAGCACATTGTGCTGCTAAGTAATATTTATTGTTTAGAACCCATTATATTTTGGTATCTGATAATATTAAATCAACACACCTAATGTCACTGGCAGCTCATTTATTAGAGTCAGTACAACCTGTGCCTAATCTGGGCTTCTTTTGGCACTGATGGCTCACTTAAACAATGTTGTGTTGACCAAATGAGCTGAACGTAATGAGGTGGTTCTAGCATGGGTTGCAGGAAGTTTAATGTGGACTGGATGTAGCCTAAACATTATGAGCCAGCCTTGACAAATGTTATTTGAGCCAGATGTGGCCCAAACACCAGACAGCTGGTCCATATACGACTTGTGGCTGGTTTTAGGCAACCAGACTCACCCTGTGTCGGGACTGCCAATTAAAACCAGACGTATTTATATGTGGGATATGGAAAGCTTAAAGCAAAGATGCACACACTCCAGATGTATTACGCTGAAATATCTGTGAAGTTCAAGCTTTGTCATGGTCTGAATAGAAAATGAGAAGTGTGTGAGAGCTGGTGTGTTGATGAGCCCAGCCATAGCAGCGAGTCTCAGAGGAAGAAGGTGACAGATGGCAAGAAGTTGAAGAGGAGGAACCTCTTTTCCCCGCTCTCTCAAGAACCCCCATCCCCACTCTTAGCCAATTAGCAGTGATTAAAACGGCCTCTTCCAGGAGTCACAGTTAATTAATAGCCTGAACGTGCTTCCAGTTTTTCTCCCTTCATGTTCTTTTTTTGCTTCCAAGTGCAGATGTAATTAAACTTCATAAACAGACAGCTGATTAAGTGCAAATATTTGCCCTCTTAAAGCGGGCGGAGCATGAAATGATTATAATTGAATCAAATGTTGTTTTCTTTTCTCTGTGTTTGCAGAGATTGAAGCCAAGGAGGCCTGTGATTGGCTGCGAGCGGCCGGCTTCCCTCAGTATGCGCAGTTATTCAAAGGTAAATATGAGACTGTTCAGTCAACTCCAAGATACCAGAGCGTAACCCCAGACGCCGTCTTATTGTGCCATTCGTCTCGTCTGTGTTTCAGACTGCAGATTCCCCATTGACATCGAGTGGGTGAAGCGCGATCACCACTTCCTGGATAAGGATGCACTCGAGTCGCTCTGCAGGTAACGAATGCCAACTTTCAGCAAGTTAATAAAACTTTAAAGTCAGCAGCAAACTTCTTAAGTATTTTTCGATCAGATTCTAACAGCCCAAAAAAGTTCCCAGAGAATTTTCAAGATCGATGCATTTCAATTTCTTGGTACAAATACAGATTTTGGTACAAAATGTTCACTCCTCTAAGCACTCTGGATCAGATAGTTGTTTTTTTTACTCTGGGACTATATGATGTCAGAGAGAAAGAATAGTTAAGTAATAATATGAAGCTATGGAGCTGAAAACGACTATAATACATGCAGTTTAATGTTTCAGTATCCTGCACTCATTTACAGGCAGGTCCAGTACTGCTACAACTTTAATGGGCGTAGCATTTTTGTAATTTATATCATCATTATTATTGTTGCTGGATTTTAATTTTCTTAATTTTCAGATTCAGTTTGGAAGATGAAGACTAATTGTTTTTCAAAACTCGCCTGACTGTCTCTTCTCCAAAGAGCCCAAGGCTTTTTTTTATTTTGGCCTCGCAGTCTTTGAGCTGCAACCGACTAAATATGGAGTGAAAATAAAAACAACAGCCGAAAGTTTACAAGAGTGATCGAGGGTTTTTTACACTGAGCACAAACACTCCAACAACAGTGTGATCTGATTAGATGTTATTCAGGAGAAGCTGGATGTTTGGTGCCTTGCTAAAGGGCTAAACTGTGCTGGTAAAGACAGAGTTCTTGCTCCTGGTTTGGACATTAAACTTGCTGCCTCGTGATCCCAGATCATATTTTAAATCAGATTTTCAGGTTTGAACCACAGGTCTTTGGTTTCGTGGAAACTGCACTGAAGGTATTGATAAACAAGTATGAGCTACATTGTGCCATTTAACCTCCATTCACTCTTCTTCCTCTTCCTCTTCCAGGAGGTTAATCACTTTAAACAAATGCGTGGGAATGAGGCTGGAGCTGCGGAGATCAAAACGCAGGGTGAGTGCTGAGAGTGAGCAGCGAGTAACTTGAACGCAACGGGGCGCTTGTATCAGAGCGGCTGGCGCCACGCAGGGGGGCTTCACGCCATGAAATCTGCTCTTTAAGCCGCACTTGGAATTCACTGATATCAGCTGATCGCTCCTCCTGCTCGATGCTTCGTTCTCTAAGAGGAAGTGTTTGATTTGTTTTTCATGCCTGAGTCTTTATTGTCTTGTATCGCCGTGAGGCCTCTGGTGTCACGTTAAATTCATGCAGACAAACATAAAATAGCTTTTTCAAGCCAGGAAAGCGCTATCAACACTACAGACAGTGAAAATATTTTGACTTTTGGCCCTTCTGTTGCGTCAGGGACGAAACGTCTACACTTCCCACGATGCAACTAATGCAAATACACCTTTCAAACCCCACGCCATAACTGTGCAGTACAGGCTTGCTGTTAAAAACAGGCCATAGTTGTGTGTTTGTGTGGTTTTCAAACATTTTATGGGTTTGTCTGAACGGGCCATCATCATCTTCTTCTTCTAGGGAGATGACAGTGGTGAGGAAGACTTCTGCGCAATCAGCCCCAACTGGACATACGACAAGCGAACCCGACAATGGCGACGCCTGGACTCCGCCGTGGATATCCTCCAACTGTCCCCCAACTCGCCTGATGTGTCGACATGCGATGACCACCATGATATCTGCTCCATCCACAGCTCCAGCAGCACTGAGAGCGAAGGCCACGAAGAACACCAAAAGAGACTGCGAGAGCCGACTGATGGCTCCAACGTCACCACCGCAAGCACCCCAGACGACCTGGAGAACAGCAGGAGCTCGTCCCGCTGCTCGTCCTCGAACAAGACCCCGTCCCTGGATACTTCTCTCAGCGGACCCCCCTCCCCCGGCGGAGGATCCTCCAATATGAGTCTCGAAGCCGAGAGCTGCTACCCCGAGAAACCACCCAGGAGGAAGTGCACCACATTGCTGAGGAAGATGGAGAAACTGAGGCTCAAGGGGGTTTCAGGTGAAAGCAGCAGCAGGGGTCGGGCCCGGCGTGTTATAAGCAGGCCTCTTCTCGTCCAAGACGAAGAGAGGATGGAGGGGCTCCGCTGCACGTCAAGGTGAGGCTGTCCATCCTACCCGGCGTTGACTCCAGCATCTTTAACCCTATGTGTCTTTAACTTGTACCATCCTGATTGTATCCAGTCTGCAGGATCAGCCCAGCAGTCATGCTTCTTCGTCGCCCTCGTCTCCTCACACCATCAGCAGCAGCAGCAGCAGTAACAGCCACTCAGAGAGCAGCAGCACCGTCAGCACGCCCAGCCCGGTAACTCGGGTGAGGAGCAACTGCAAACGATCCAGCAACAACGTCGTGGTTGGCGGTGGGACGAACCACACAGGACCAGAGGTCAGAACATGGACAAGATTCCTCCAAACCTTTTATTTCCTCTAATCCTAACC